ATAGAAAAGGACCCCATGATCCTAAACCAAACTTATTTGGGATCAGGAATCCCATGTTCATCTACAAAGAACAGATCCAACCACAACAGTGACTACAATTGATTTCTTTTGTGTAATACTAATTTGTATGGCCTCAATATAAGTTCTGCAAGATGTCATGCAACGAAACCCATGGTTACAAAAAGCCACATTCATCCTTCTCATCAACTGCTGATTCCGATATGCATCGGCCGCATCACTCTTTTGCACATCAATTTGCCTTCCAAGAAGCACCTGATTGTACGCGCTCAGTTATGGAGTTTAACTTCAAGAAATGGATCCTTATTTCAGTACAAGAACTTATTCAAAAATCTGTTCATACTTATAACATGGATACATAACATGATCATCGGTCATTACACTAGTCAGTCGAAATCAAGGGATGTAAGGGATCATCGACATGATCATAGCCTTCAATAGCCAAAAGTGAAATAAAGGGATACATAACATGATCATTGGACATTACCCTAGTCAGTCGAAATCAAGGAATGTAAGGGATCATCGAACCCTCAAGTCCATAGCCTCCAATAGCCAAAAGTGAAATAAAGCGTGGAGAAGTACAATTTTATTGCTTCTGCAGTAAACATAATTACTACTGAAAAAATACACATGCAAGTTAAACCCATTGAACACTCATAAGTCATAACCAATAGTTTAAGATTCTCAAAATAAAACTTCTGGTTTCATTAGGTATAAGAACAACAGTGACTTGGGGAGAGAGAGGGGGGGGGCGGGGGGAGGTCAAGTCAAACAGAATGCACCCAAATTATACTCAAAGATGACAAAAAAAAATCTCCTTGCCTCATCATGCAAAAGCTCAATTCACAGTCAAAAGTAACAAATTCTACAATTCAGAATGCAATTACAGTTATCAAATATGTCCATAACTGAGACATCAAAAAATAAATTCTTCAACATGAGACTCAAAGGTAATACAACATCAACAAGTATATAATTCTTCAGTCATAACCCTGTATGCATATATCATGTTGTCATTCATCAGTTAGCATCAAACATTGTAGAAATCTACATGCTTTTTATTATCAAACATTAACAGGCAGCATTTCAGCACTATGATTATTAATACACTCAAAATCCACTACCACAAGAAGAATCTATCCTAGTGTAATAAATCAAATCATCCAAAACTCCATAACAATCTAAGAAAGACAATCCAAATTAAATTCAAACCCTAGCACTCAATTTACAAAAGTACCTCGTAAATAATTCTTCTTTTCCCCGAAAACGTTTCAAAGATTTCAATTTTTCCTATATGGTCCCCCTGGAATCAATATGGGATTTCATGGAATTTCAATATGAAATCGAAATTAAAGTGATAACCAAGTCAATCTCGTTAGCAAAATAGTATGTAAAGAAAGATTAACCTGCAACCAAGAGAACTGATAAACAGAACAAGAACTCAGCCAAATTTTCCCAATTCAGAGACGAAGAAATGGAAAAGAAATGCCTGAAACTCTCCAGATTGTGAGCAAGAAAATACAAAGAGTTTGAGTATACGAATCCTATATAAATGTCACATATACATTTCGCCTATATGTGTGCGCATCAAAAATTTACAGACACAGATTATTTTGCGAGCTTTTTTGACAATTGTGTGAGAAATGATTCTGTTTTTTACCATCTAATTAACAATCGGAATAAAATTGGGACGAAGATATTCCATGCTCTTCCTCTAGGTGTTTTTGTTGTTTGGACTTTGGACAACCCCCAGATCACGTCTTATGCACGTGTTTATTCTTGCTCTATTTGGTGTCCTTGGTTTTAAAACATTTTTGTCACGAGATCATTTTCAATAACATATTTACACAATAAGATAATNTAACATATTTACACAATAAGATAATATGTACATAAAATATGAAAAAATTTCTACTTTTTAACAACATATTCTCCTAAAAATACTATTTAAAACTCTCTCTCTCTCTCTCTTTGAAATGATGGATGTTAAAATAATTCTATTAGGTAGGCTTCCATTTGATTGCGAATTTTACGGATTAAATGCATAGTTTGCAATGATACTATGATTAGATTCAATATGTTTGTGATCACTTAGGCCGTTGTACACTTTACATGTTATATTATTATGATGTGGTAATTTTAAGTATGTGGGCCGGAATTATGTAAACCGTAATTAGGGTTAGAATCGATAATTGGCCGATTTTATGATTTCCTATATAATGGTTAGGTCCCCTCTCCTCTCCATATTGTTTTGGTTTGTCCCATTGACGGTTGATTATTTTGAGGAGCATGGAGAGGAGGATCTAGTTAGTAATATTCATACATAACGTCTTCCGCATGTATGAATTTCGGACTATCAATTAATTATGTGATTCTTATTCTTAGTATGATTGTATTGAATAATCGCAACAATTGGTATCAAAGTAGCATGCTAAGATTATAGTCATTTAAACAATAATAAAATTAAATTGATTTTTTGAATTCTGTCTTCTCTCTTGCTTAGCTGACTATGTGCAAATGTGTATGAATACTAAACTGCAGCCCTACTCTCTGTGTATATATATATGTTTGTCACACAAAAAAAACTCAAGCAGTCTCACCCTGGCCTTGTTCTTCTTCTTCTTCACCCGTTGTATTGTTAGTGCCCATCGTCCAGCAAAATTAGTGTGAATAATTACGATATAACAAAGTTAGACATGGATATTTGAGTATTTACTCCATGATTTGAATTTGGTTTGTATGCATGTATATATGGTTTCCACAGCAGCCTCCCGTATGTGTGCATATGAAGCCCTCTGGTCGTGTGATGGCATATGGGGTTTTTGATTTGTTTTGAATATGTGTTTGCATGAATCTATGCGCATATTTATCTCCGATAGCACCGTCACCTGGCAGCCGGCCCTGATGTTGAAAATCAGAGATGCCGGCTGCGACACTCGCGGCTGCTACTAGTGCAGCACTGCGCGCTTGCTGCCCAGCAGCGCTGGTGATACATCAGCGAGCAACGACGGAGATAAAGCGTCACTGATTCGACGGCGGCAACGCCCAACAAAAAAACAGGCTAGGATTTAATTTTTTGATTGGACAGGGTTTGATTTAGGGATGGAGGTTGCTCGCAATTTCAGAAATTTTGGGGGCTT